CTGTACGCATATTGCTTTTCAAATTTATCTGAATCTATTTTTTGGGAAAATGCTTCCCTCCAAAATTCTAATGCATCTTCTAAAGAAACACCTATTCCTTTAAGAAATAGACCATATTGAATACGTCCAGAATTCTTTAAGTGGTGATTAATATGTAATGCTTCGTGAAGAGATCTCATACATAATGGATAAGATGTTTTTGATAACTATAATAAGTAAATAAAATATTAAATAAAATCCAAAGAATTTAAATACATATATTCATTGTTAATATATTTTCAATTACTTACTTTCTCTAGTTTTTCAATTGGTGTATTTGTGGTTGACCAAACTATTCGAGCCATTCCAGAGAATGTGCCAGGTAGGGCATTAATAAAACTTATCAATCTTTCATCGTCAGAGACATTTAAAAGATTTACTTTTGCATCCTAAATAATCAAGAAATAGGCAAAGATAATTAATACAATAAATGTAAAAATTTGAAAAGTTAAGGAAAAGAAGGAGGAGGAGGAGAGAGAAAAAGAGAACATAAAAAATGTAGTAGTCATACTTCTATTCCTGTAATTAGTTTTTGCCTGAAGTATGAAATACACAATGAAATCAGATCATTTCGTGGTACATATGCCATTCCATCTTCAAGATATACTTTACGCGCTCTAACAAGATCAATTACTTTCTGAAATGGTACTTTATAAAAATCTACTGTATCTATATTTGTAATTTTGAAAGTAGACATTTGAAGTTCTTCTCGTATTCTTTCTTTTTCTTCATAGCATATCTATAAAAAAAAAGCCTTATCATATTATTTGTATATTATGTATATATAAATAAATAAATATGAAAAAATATTTATACTGTTGATAGCATTAAAAATGTTTGAAAAAATAAACGTACATGTTTGCAGTTGAGCTTATGTATATTTAAGAATTGATCAACGCCTTCTTTATCCAAAGATGAAAATCTTATTTTGAATAATTCTACCTCTTGATTTATGAACCATTTTGCTTGATCTTTGTCTTTGCAATATGCTAGATTCAGAATATGATGCGATATATTATCCTTTTTTCTGGCTTGAAGATCGAATTCTGCATCAGACTTACAACCAGTTCCACAAATTAGATTTACATAATATTTCAGACCATCCTTTTTCAAACTATCTTTTAAACTATCCCTACGTGCTTCTATTATCTTAAGATCAGTTCGTAGAGAAATATTTTCAACCATACGAAGAACTAAAATGATGCGTATATCTAAATATTGATTTATTAAAGAAATATCTTTAAAAAAATAATAAAATGTACCTTTTAATCTATCAAGAGCTAACTCTTGAAATTCAATTAAAGATAATTCACCTTCAGGTAAAATATCATATACTTGCAAATCATGTGGATAAAGTGTCTTTAAAGTTTTAATTTCATTTGTAATGGTACAATGTTTAAAAGCAAAATCCATTTCCTGTGTTATATATATAATAATAAATAATAATTAATATAATAACAAAAACAGAAACAATAACGATAACAATAACAATAACAATAACAATAACAATAACAATAAAAATAACAATAATAAAAAAAATAATAATAATGCATTATATATTTAAGCAGCTTAAATGTTCCTATTTAAAATTATTCTTAACGATAACAAATGATTATTAACCTTTCATTGTAATATCAATATAAAGTAGATACTAACCAAAATAAAATACTTATCAAATGTTAATATTAATTTATAACATGTATAGAGCTTTAAATGTATAAAAAAGTAATATATATGTTTATATATTTTTTCTATAATATATATTCTTTCACTTTTTCAACAGAAACGTATTCCTTTTATAAAAACACACAACAATCGCTTTTCATTGTCTCGTAAATTTCCCGCTACTTTTTCACGCACATATATGAGTTTAGTGTAGTTTGACAAATAGTTTGTAGAGGGTTTCTCTATAGTAAAGATAATATTAGACTGAATTTGTTTTATGTTCTTTATTGTTAGGATGCGACTTGCTTTTCTTTGTTGTACACTTCTCAACGGCTACGCACAGACTGTACTCGTCTGGTGACCACACTTGCTAGCGTGGTTCCCTAGCCTTCTAGTAACTTAGATGGCGCGACCATCGGTCGTACCGCTACAAGTTTGACAATCGTCGCTCCATCTACTGTCAGCAACTGAATTTTCCTATTACATTCTTATATCGGCCTTTATCTAAACAAACATAATAAATCGAAACAAAGAAAAGTTCAACTTCAAATTTTCTTCATCATATAGTTTTGGACGTTGTAGCTGATAGATTTTGATCGTACGGTAATCGTGAATTGTGAATTTTTGTTTATCATAAAATCTCACACACCACACACACACATATATATATATCTGTTATCTGCCTACTTTAAATACATATCATAAATTGTTGCGGTGGCTGTATCTTTTTGTTATCGTGAATGTTATTTATGACTATCGTTTATCTATCTGTTTAAAAGAATGCTTTTAATCTGTTTTTAACAGTTATTCATCTCCAAGTCAACGAAGTTACAATGGCAATGTCTAATCGAGTAAGAATTTTTCTTTTTCAAATGTCACTTTAATTTGAATCATTTTTTGATTGTGAAATATATATTATACTATAGTAATTTATTTAAATAATTTTACTTTTTGATTTCTTTTTCACATCCTTTGTATATTTATTCAACTGAATGTATTTAAATTTTACAGTTAGAAAAGGTTGTAAATACTTACAAATTATTATCAAAAAATAGTACTTTGAATTCAGCTAAAATTATAAATGTTACAAGTAAAAATATATTTATACAAAGTGTATGGAGTCAGAAGAATCTAGAAAAACAAACTAATCAACGTTTTATACAAAATCATTTTCTAAATGAAGATTTCCAACCTGCAGTGGAAAGTTTTCCAATTGATATTACACAAGAGTACGTATCATCTTTATTATAATATTTAATTATTAATTTATTAAGTAAAATTAATAGTACAATTGTTTTTTTACTATAACAAAGTTCTAATAAAGTAATTTTTGTTTTTTCTTTAAAGACTTGTGTCAGCTATTTCAGAAGATGGAGTATTTAAAGCTATATTACGAAGTAGTACCGTTGATAATAAAACAAAACAATATATTGAAATTTGGAACAAACAAAATATGATTAAAAACTACGATTTAGCAGCGTTAGATGTACATGGTGATATTTATGTAGACGACAGTAAGAGAAAATGTTTTTAATTTTTGTTTAGAATTCTAATCTTTATTGTAAAAACTTTTGGCTTATCATTTGTTGTATAATTATTATAGCCAAATTTGGTACTTTCGAGTGGTCTCCGGACAGAGCAAAATTATTATACATTGCAGAGAAAAAGTTACCAAAATCTGAAGCATTTTATAAACAAAAGTCTTTAGATAAAAAAAATGAAGAAAAAAAGGAGAAAGAAGAAATAATACCTGTAAGACACGTTAATGTATATCGAATTATTTCCAAACTATTGATATTATTTTCAAAAAAATCATTTTGATAGGGTAATGAGTATATTTATAAACCTGATTGGGGAGAACAATTAGTAAGCAAACACTATCCTGTTGCTGTAATACTTAATATAAAGACAGACTCAATAACAGCACTATCAGAAATACCAGATCAATATTCTCCAGGACAGTTGCTGTGGATGAAAGACTCTAAAAGTATAATCGGTGTCGTTTGGACACATGAACCAAGACATTTAGGACTTATTGCGTGTACAAATAGAAAATCCTGGATTTTTTCTTTGAATAACGGGGAATTTCGTAAGAAATCTATATATTTTCACAGTTTTCAAAACAATTATAATTATTTGAGAAATATTTAAGTATATTCAATTATTCAGGTCTATTATCTAAAGATGGGTGTGCAGTACAAGCACCTAAAATTAGCCCAGATGGAAAATATCTTGTTTGGTTAGAAAGAAGTGCTAGTGGACCGCATCATAATGCTCATAGACTTATGTATCTCGACCTTGAATGTACTCAAAAGGAAGTAAGTCGTGTCTTTTATTTTTTTACAAAACATAGACATGATTTTTTTATAAAATATATTTTTTCTTTTTTATTTAAGCCTATTATAATTACTGATATTATTGACTCTGGTAGAACTATTCACAATGAAAAATTATTTTATGGGATATATGGTCGATTACCACAACGTTGTTGGAGCAAAGATGGTCGATATTTGTTTTACAGTACTGCTCAGCGAACAAATATACGATCTTATGTAATTGATATGGGTAAAATATACTATATTTACTTATATACATGTTTCAATATACATATATATGGGCATAACTTCAGAGGTGTTTTCAGTCCAAAATTTATATAATCATATCCCCGATATTATTTCCGTATTATAGCTGTTTTGTCTTCCAATAATGTATATAAATTTACTAACTGCTTGCTTCAACTGTTTATAACAGTAAGCTTCATATTTCTCGTACATTACTGTACTCATAACAATTTTCAGCAAATTTAAACAATATGCAATATTTTTAAATGATTAAAAAGATGTATGATAAGACGTTTGGAAGTTTCCATTGAAGTCAAAAGTGGCCACTTTAAATAGTTTCTATGAAATTCATGTTACAACATGTATAATACAAAAATTGTTGTAATTCAGACACAAATTGATATCGAGGATATGAATTTTTTTCTTATTTTAGTACAATAAAACCACCCTTGAAGTTATACTTAAATTTTGAAATACCTTATATATCCTAAGAGAATATATTTATTCTTTTGATAATACTAATTAGATATGTTTTATACAGAAGAGAAAAATATGATTGAGATACAAAATGACGAAAGTTCACTCACCATCTTAGATGTAAAAGATGATATAATTGCATTTGCACTAACATCTCTTTTAAAACCATCGACACTTTATGTAGGACGTCTTGATCCCACACAGTTTAAGAATGGAAATATTACAAGAGTCAATATCACTAATTCGCAAGAGATCGATGACTTCAAATCACTTATGTATAAACATACAATTTATGAGTATGATAATGATGATGATATCAGTAAGTATTATGATTGTACATACAAGCAATTATTTGATTTATATAATTATATTTAAGTATATATTATTAGTTTTTCCCTTAAATTTTAATATCTTTAAATATATTATTACAGAAACATTTAATTTTACGTATTTTGGACCAAAAGATGGAAAAGAAAAATCAATACCGTTAATAGTAGCACCACATGGAGGTCCACATTCTAATTTTGTTAATGCTTTCTCTTTTGATTATTCTTTGCTTGCACTCATGGGTAAGCACCATACTCTTTCTTTTTATATTTACCTTCTTTTTTACAATTTTAAATTAATATAATATACAAAATTAAGGGATGGCAGTGTTACAAGTTAATTATCGTGGCTCTACTGGAATGGGTGCGAAAAATGTAGAATTTCTTCAAGGAAAAGTTGGCGATGTAGATGTAAAAGATTGTGTTACTGCCACTAAAGAAGCTTTAAATAAGTACCCATGGCTCAGTCCTTCACATGTGGGTGTTTGTGGTGGTTCTCATGGTGGATTTTTAGTAGCACATTTAACTGCTCAATATCCAGTACGAAACAAAGCTATTAAACATTTATAATAATAAAATATGTAATATAATGAACTTCCGCGAATTCCTAATGCCAATTAATAATAATAATAAAAATAATAATAATAATAATATAATGATATAAATATATCATTATATTATGTTCATAGATTAATGAGAGAGAGGGATTTTCGTCAAGATGTTGGGAATTGACACTGTTCAGAGCCTTTTTTTTAAGTCTCACTGCTATACACGACTTTTTTATTGACATACTCCAATGAAAAAATGATGAAAGTTATTTGTGTATATTAATATGTAGGAGAAACTTTGATTAGCAGTTTTAAAAAGTTCGTAAAAATAGTGTAAAAATCAAGTCTCTAGGCGAAAATCCTTTCTTAAATAATATCTAATATATATAATATAATAATTATTATAAACACACACACACTACATATATTTCAGGACCTATATAAAGTCGCTGTCGCTAGAAATCCAGTAATTGACATTGCTGCTATGTACACTATTTCGGATATTCCAGACTGGTAAAAATATTATTTCATTATCAATATTATTTATTGTTAATCGTCCAATTTGTATTTCAGTCGCAATACTTTAACTGCGGAAGAGATACTTGCATATCAGCATAATGTGTAAGCTTAATTGTTAACTAAAATATAATAAAATCTATAATATTATATTTTAATTAATTAATTTAATGGTAGACTGAAATGCAGTATTATTGAACGTAATATTTAATACGGTGTTGCATATATATATGTCTATAGATACATATATAATACGTAAATATATACATATATATATATTTTATTATGTTTATACTATAAAAATCTTTATTAGGTGCAAGGCTGTGATAAATATGTCTGATCCAGTTGTACCGTCAACTGTAGGAGTCATGGAAATGTTTGTAAAAATGTATAATTCTTCACCTATTATTCTTGTCGATAGAGTTAAGGCTCCTACTCTTATATGTATTGGTACAAATGATCTAAGAGTTCCATCTTCACAAGGAAAACTGTGGTACAATCATCTTAAAGCTAATAAAGTCAAAACAAAGTAAGTAAACATAATTAAGTCAAATAATATATTATATATCAGAACTTTGCTATAACAATATATGTAGATATTTATGGAAAGTTTCGGATCTCATGTCAGAACAGTAACTTGAAAATACAAATTTTTTTCCAAAGCCTATAGAATATATTGGATATAATTATGTTTTTAAATTAACCAGAATGCTTGTATATGAGGACAATCACCAGCTGGGATCAGGTACTGCTGAGATGGATTCTCTTATTAATCTTTGTTTATGGTTAATGAAACACAATAGTATTGATGAAGAAGATAATTCTGGTTTACCAGCAATATTGTAATGATAGAAAAGAAGAAAAAGAAAAGATAATCTATAATGATATATAATAACAAACATTTTTGTACAAGAAAAATTTTTATTAATTATTTTTCTGATAATAAAATACGTAAGACATAATATTGTAAATCGTTTCTCTAAATGTTCAATACTTGTGTCATTCTACCTTATATATAAGGATATATATTTACAAAATTTCATTATACAAATACATAGCAAATTGTTTAGACACATACGAATATACACGTTTGTATATTCAGGCATATATTACCTATACGGATTATATTTTTATAACGCTTACTCTATCAATACTTTTATTTATCATTGATCGTAAAATAAATAACAATAAAGTAATACAATAACATTGAAATAAACTATATTTGTGGTATAATGTTTGTATTAAATACTGATATAATAACCAATACAATATTGAAACAAGTCATGGCTTGCTCAAAAGTAAAAAAAATATGTTAGAATTACTTATATATTACAAATGTCAATAAAAATGTTTTTTCTTAAGTTAATGTAAGTTTTATTATATCTAAAACTCATATGTTTCAAGATTTTTATACAAAATTGTTTACAAGAAGTAATATTCTATTATATCTTATGAATTCTATAACGTACTCAAATAAGAAGCATACTTGTTGCTTAATAAAATATAAAAGTTATGAATATAATTATGTGTATACACCATATTAGAAATATGTTGTAAAAGTCGATTATTGTAAAAAAAATGCATTATAAAGTTATGAACTTAGATATCCATATAGAAAAAAAATGAACCGAATTAGGTAGAGATTTGTACTCCATTATTTACAACTAATTTTTATTCTAAGATTTAACCTTGGATTCTACAAGACTTATTCTTGATTTTATTTCCCTATATACTTGTAAATATACATAGTTAAAAAAAAATCACCTAATTAAAACATTAGGTAATATACTGTAAAAATTTGATATAAAAAAGGGTTATCATCAATAACTTACACTTGCTGCACAGTAGAATTATTCTCTTCTGGAAATAAGGAATCATAACTAGGTGGAAGATCTTTATCTATGACAGGAGGTGGTACTACAACTTCTAACATTGGAGCTGTTGGAACTTGACGGTTACTAGTACTTTCAGACTCTTGTACACCTGATCGAGCTAATCTATCCGATGAGCGTGTACTTGGACCAGCACAATCCAAAGACCAAAAGATCATATCTTTTTTTTTACATGCCCATACGCACACACCAAAAATAATTGTACACACAACTAGTGTTGTCACAGCACCCATTGTTATTTTTGTTCCAGTGCTGTGGGTGAAGACGTCAATACTAGTTGTACAATTGACTTCGTCTTCACAAATATTTGGTACACAATTTTGATATCCGTCGCAAAAGTAATTATGCAAAATACATGATTCGAACTTTATTTTTGTATAGTTAGTATTTAAATTTTCCTTGCATCCTATAAATGAAATTGAAAAATAATATATATTTATTTTATTTGTATACTTCAACAGTATATTGTCGTGCTTAATGCATCAGATATATTTAAAACTTACTTTTATATGGCGTATAAACAAGAGTGAGAGAAATAATTTCTTCCGTAAGTAAGTGTTTCTCTTTGGAAATGAATACTATAGTTTCTAACATGCCTTTAGTGTCAAATTCTGCATAAGTGCTTCCAGAAAAAATTGATGCAGATTCATAAGTATTATTTTCTGGTTCAGGGACTGGATAATATTTAGTTGTGCTGCGATCATAATTTCCACAAAATTTTTGTGTCCTTTGGAAGTCGCTCCTTTTAAACTAAAATTATTTACACATATATATTTATATATTTAAATTAACGAATCAATCGAATGAATTTTTTTTACAAATCTGTTCACCTGTACATAATCTAAACACTGTGTCTTATTACGCCTGAATGTCATTTTTTGTATCACACCAAACAAACCATCATCTTTGTTAGTTTTAATAATAAATCTACAATATGTATCAGCATTTGATTGATGATCAACTGTAATATTAATTACGACCGCTAAATCTTTGTTATGTTTATTTGAATTAATATGACAATCTTTCTCATTTTTTATATCATCTATAAATATCGAAAAAGTGAAATTAAAAGTATATAATTAATTTTACTAGGTTAATTTATCACTATATATAATAACTTACATTTGGTGTATTTAGAATGCTGTAAACATAATCCTAAATTGTTTAAAAATGTAGTAAAAATTATAAAGCATATCAATCTTATAACATCTTGGTCCATTTTGCATGAACGGTCATAAACTATAATTAAACAAAATCCAATTGCAAAGAGAAATAAATAAAAACTTTACTAATTTTTATATTATAAAATGTAATGACAGAATTTTACTAGTAGCATTGGCTACCAACTGAGATTACCTTCACCTAATATATTTCATTTGATTTTACATTATTTTATTTTATTTTATAAAGATAATACCATTATTAACGGAAAACAATATTTTCCGTAATAATAAATTTTAGTATAAAGGCTTATTTTTGAACAATAAATTAAATAAATATTTATACAGTTTTCCGATAAACTATAAGAATGATTGTTTTGTTCAGGTTATTATTACGAACAATTACGAAACAGCCCGAGTTCTTCCGAAGATTTTGGGAAGAAGTGTGGGTAGTCACTAAGGACAGTTGGTACTTTTTTTTTTTAAACTAATTTTAAATTAAGCTACTTTTAATATTTAGATTCTTTTTATGTTTTTCAAACGTATTCTTATTAATATCTAATAAAATACATTTAAGTGGTATATAATATATACCACTTTATGGGTTATAGGGATTATATTATACCCCATGTAACTTATACGTCCTATCTACGATAAGTACATACACGGAGCCTAGATCAGTGCTGTCAGATCGTGGGTAAATCTTACCCTCTCCCTGTGCCACTGGGATTGCACACAATGAAAGTTTTCCATGTCGTGTGTTTGGGATGTCGAGGAAAGCCGAGTGTAACCGAAGTTGGCGGTTGGCCACGAAGT